ATTTTGTTGAAGATATTTACTGGCCCTTTAAGTTGGGAATCTTCATTCTCATCTATACCTATTATCCTTAGGTTTGGTCTTCTCATTGTTCCTGGATTTCCTGGATGTTTTGAGTTAGGAGTTTTTTACATTTTGCATTTTCTTTGACAACTGTGTCAATATTTTCCACCGTATCTTCTGCATTTGAGATTCTCTCTTCTATCTCTTGTATTTGGTTGGTGATGTTTGTGTCTATGACTCCTGATCTCTTTCTTAGGTTTTCTATCTCCATGGTTGTCTCCCTTTGAGCTTTCTTTATTGTTTCTATTTCCATTTTCACATCCTGAATGTTTTTGTTTAATTCCTTCTTTGTGTTTTCTTGCATTTCTTTAAGGGATTTCTGTGATTGCTCTTTAAGGGCTTCTATCTGTTTACATGTACTCTCCTGTATTTCTTTAAGGGAGTTACTTAATTCCTTCTTATAATCCTCTATCATCATCATGAGAAGTGATTTTACTTCTGAATCCTGCTTTTCTTGTGTGATGGGTTGTTCAGGGCTTGCTATATTGGGAGAACTGGGTACTAATGATGCCAAGAAACTTTGGTTTCTGTTGCTTATGTTCTTGCGCTTGCCTTTCGCCATCTGGTTAACTCTAGTGTTACCTGCCTTCACTGTGTGAGACTGGAGTCTGTATTTCCAGTTATCTTGCTTGTGGCAGAGCTCCTCAGACTCCAGATGTCTTCATGGTCTTATGATCCTAATCTCCTGGGTGGAAGAACTTCTGGGACTCAGGCCACCTCTTGGATCTGGAAATCCTTCTGCTCTGGGTGCAGTGGTTCCTCTAAGATTGCTCCGGATAAGATGTCTCCCAAGTGCAAACCACCTTGGTGTCTGCTGCTCTGAGTGCAGTGGCTCCTCTAGGATGGCTGAGGATTCAGTATCTCCACAGGAGCAGACCAACACTGTGTCTGCTCCAGCCCAAAGGCGGGAAATGATTTTTTAAGCCTTAGGAAGTTCATCATTATTTGGATTTGTGACAACTTCTATGTTAGTATCGAATTGAAATTTATGTTTTTCTTTTTATTTCTTTTTTTTTCTTTTTAACCAGGATACCAAAAATTAAAAAAAACGATCACAGACAATGCTTAAACATCCAGTCGAGGTAAAGTGTCTGAGTGTGTGTGTGTGCGCGTATGTTTTCTTTAGTCCATTTCTGTCTTGTATGTGCCCTCTCCCACCTGTAAGTCGTAACTGACACATTCTCAAGGAGAACCCAATACTCAATGTTTATAGAGACTAGTGTAGAACAACAATTTAGTTAAAACCTCTTCCTGAAAAGGGGATCACCACCACCCCACTGCCACTGCAGAGGGCCTCTGGTTCCCAATTGCACCACTTGCTGTGAGCACAGCTGGACAGGTTTTCCTCAGATGAGCTCCTCTTCCCTCCAAGTGCTGGGATTACAAATGTGTGCTACCACACCCACCTGAGCTGGCTGTTTGACATAACATCCAACTCTAAAGCATTTAATGGCTCTTACAGCTATTTAGAGAGATTTTTTTTATGTTGTTACAATTTTATTTGTGCACAACAGTGAAGAGATTACTGTACAGTTTAATATTCTAGCCTAAATTTATTTTGATTTAGTGCATCTTTGCATTTGACCATTGTGAGCTGTAGATTTGGTTTTGGTGACTGTGAAATTTTTGTGTTGAAGATCAGGTATTTGTAGATGAATAAACAGACCTTAAATGGGAAGTCAGGTGAGTGCTGAACATTCACAGAGGGGCATGCCTGCAGTCCCAGCATCCTGGAGACTAGCAGGCAGATTGCTGAGAGCTCCAGCCCAGTTTGGGCTACAGACTGAGAACCTGTGTGTCTCAACAAACGAGACAAACAGAAAAGCCAATAAGAAAATCAGGCAAAAAGTCAACCTTGTTTGAACACCTTGCTCTTTTTCCAGGTGTACTGTAGGGTGCGTCCCCTGAGCTTTCTTGATCAGGAGTGCTGTGTTGAGGTGCTCAATAGTACAACGGTGCAGCTCCACTCTCCTGAGGGCTGTCAGCTCCAAAGTAATGAAGGCTATAAGCAGGTAGGTTCCTAGTGGAAACCTTGTTGTCAGTTTTGAGTTTAAAAACTCATGTGCAATCTCATGTGTGGGAAGGAGTTCTTCAGCCACCTTATCTAAAATAGCTTTCATTTCTGGGACATACAGATAGACTTTTGATATGTTGGAATTAGGGGGTTGTTTTCAGAGGATTTTTTTTCTTTCTCTTTTTGTATTTTTGATATTTTTGAGGTAGGATGTTACTGTGTAGGCCTGGCTGTCCTGAAACTCATTATATAGGCCAGGCTGGCTTGGAACTCACAGAGATCTCCTTGCCTCTGTCTTCTGAGTGGTGGGATTAAAGGCATGTGCCACCATCACCTGACTTTCAGAGGACATCCTGAAACTGAATATATGAAACTTCACATGAGAAGATTTGAGTAACATTTAATAAGAGGCATTTTGTGTGCTTTTCCCTTCCCTGGGGCTTGAACCTAGGATCCTGTGGATGCTAGGCAAGTGCTCAGCCATTTGAGCTACACCCACAGTAGTATTGTTGTATGTGTGGATCAACCATAAAGGTTTTATTTTGTTTCTCTGGCAATATCACCATGTAGCCCAGTGTGTTATTCCTGTTCTATTGCTATAAAGAGACACATGACCACAGTAACTTAGGAAACATGACAGTTTCAGAGGGTTAGTCCATGATCATCATTGTAGCAAGCATGGTGGTACGCATGTGGCACACTGGAGCAGTAGCTGGGAGTTTATATTTTAATAAGCAACCAGGAGGCTGGAAGAGAGACAGTAAGTAGGCTTTTGAAACCTAAAACCCACCCCCATTGCACACCTCCTCCAACAAAGCCACACCTCCTAATCTTTCCTAAACAGACTCCCAACTGGGAACCAAGCATTCAAATATCTGACCTTTCAGGCAACATTCTGATTCCGACCATCACACCTAGACTGGCCTCAAAGCTACTTCTCGTCCCCCTGATTTGGTCTCCCTAGTACTGAAATTAGAAGTATGAATCCCTTGATGCCTTGAGTGGGTTTTGTTGCTGTTTGATTTTTGTGGTGTTAGGGATTGAATGCAGGACCTTGTTCGTCTTTGGCACTTTTTTTCTTTTTGGGAGATAGCATCTCTCTATAGCTCAGTCTGGCTTTGAACTGGTGGATGACCCACCTGGTATTAGAGGCATGTATCACCATTTTTTACCTGGTAAGTGTTTTCTTTATTATTTGCAGTGTTGGGGAATGGGTTTAAGGCCTCCTGAATGTTTGGCAAGTATTAGACTACTGAGGTGTATTGAGAGAGTTTTTATGTCTAATGAAGTAGAGAATAAAATGAATAAATGTGAAATACTAGGCTAAGCTACTACTGTGATACTAAAGTTTAAGATGCTGAAGCAAGAGGGTCATGAGTTCCAGGCCAGCCTGTGCTGAAGAGGGAGACCTGCTTACAGTAACAATAACAAAGAATATAAAGATATATTTAGCTATGGATACATTCTATTAGTTCTCCAAATGTTGTAGGAGGCTAGTTACTCTCTGGTAGGGAAGAGGTTTTTTGTTTTTGTTCAAAGTAAAACTGCCTTTATGGACATTATATCCGAACTGACAATTAGACAAGTAATTTCATAAGGCAGGAAGTCAGATTTTCTGAAGGGATGGAGATATGCGAATGCAGAAAATAGATGATTGATTTGGGCTTTCTGAGTTTGAACTGCCATTCACTCTTTTGTTTGTTGAGACAGGGGATTAGACTCTAATCTGTCTGCTCTGGGGGTTGCTGTGTAATCTAGGGAGCCTTTAAACTTGTGACAAATTGTCTACCTCATTTTCTTATGTGCTGAGATTCCAGGCCTGAGCTACCACACTGGGCTGCCATCCAGCTTGTGCACACTGCTTCAGTGACTCTCTTCTGTAGACTTCCATGTCCTCTGTGCTGCTAACTTTGTCTCTTTATCTCAGCAGCCCAACCCTTCCTGAGGCTTGCTCTCCTTGCCCTCTTTAGCTTTAGGCTGTTTTGTCACTGTCCCCTCTGCTGGCTTTTGTCTAGCCTCTGAATACGAAGGTGGGCTGTGTTCAGGGCTATTCTCCTAACCCCCTCTTTCTCATCTTTCTGTTTTCTGTTTATTTGCTTCCTGGTTTGTTTGGTTGTTTTTTGTTTTTGAGACAGGGCCTCACATATTAACTTGACTGAACTAGAACTTGTCTTAGCCTCCTGAGTTAGTTTCTGTGGGAGATCTGAACCAATCTTCCACTGTCGTGGTGGCATAAATTTATAATTTCAGCACTCTGGAGGTAGAGGCATGAGGATCAGAAATTCAAGTTCTTCCTTGGTTACATAGTAAGTTCAAGACTACCTTGAGTTACATAAGACTGTCTTAAAGAATTTTACATGTATGTGTATACATACACATATATATGTATACATACATACACAAATATAAAAATACATTGCAAAAAGTAACATTTATTTTGTATAAGAACTCAGATAATGCTGGGTGGTACATGCCTTTAATCCCAGCACATGGGAGGCAGAAGTGTGCGTATCTTTATGAGTCCAAGGGTAGCCTGTTTTACAGAGTGAGTTCCAGGACTACTGAACAGATAAGACAGCACAATGAACCCCTGTCTTAACAAACAACAAATAACCCCAAAAACTATAAAAAAAACTTCATGAGATTATATTTATAACTCATTTCTAGATTTAAAATGTACACTTGTTATTTTGCCATCCTATTTACAACATTTTTATGTATGTATTTTTGTTTGTGTCCACATTGTGTACTTAGGAGGGCAGAGAATAACCTATAGACCGTTCTCCCCTTTCACCAGGTGGGTTCCAGGGATTGAGCCTAGGTTCTCAGGCTTGCTAGCAAGTGTCTTTACCTGTTGAGCCATCTTGTTGGTTCTTGCTGCTTTACACAGACCTTTGTAAAGAACAAATAGAGAGCTGTGGCCAATGGTGGTGCATGCTTGTGATCCTAGCACTTGGAAGCAAGGGCAGGAGGATCACTTAAACTTGAAGGCCAGCCTGGTCTGTCTACATTGCAAGTTCTAGATCAGCCATAACTACATACAGACTGTTTCATACAAACACACTCCAAAGAAGAGAAGAGAAAAGAAAGAACAACAAATAGAAGCTATAATGCTTGAAATTTTTAATACATTTATTTACATATTTTGATTTTTTTTTTGATAAGGGGTCTCTGTATAGCCTTGGCTATCCTGGAACTCCCTCTGTAGACCAGGCTGATCTCAAACTCAGGTCAGCCTGTCTCTGCCTCCTCAGTAGTGATATTAAATGTGTGTGCCTCCACTGCCTGGCATAAATTTAGGATTATAGGCCATTACCTTCTTTTGCTTTGTTTGTTAACAGGATCTTACACTATAGCCAGGTCTAGCCTATGACTCTGTGTAGCCCAGGCTGCCCTCAGACTCATGGCAGACTTCCTGTCTCAGCCTCTGTAGCACTGGCTATACAAGCTCACTTTTGTTCACTCTTAATCTGTGCAGCATTAGTGGACTCAATGACTGTTCTTCACTTTTCCTCAGTGGCTAGGACTGAAGGTAATTGTTACGATAGCTGTGATTTATGTACATTTTGACTACTGAAGGCTCCAAGCCTAAAGATCATTCTTGGTTTTGTTTGTGTGTGTGTGTGTGTGTGTGTGTGTGTTTAACAGGTCTGGATTTGATATATGTTCACAGCAGAAACATTCCAAGTATAGAACAGACATAGTTCTAATGGAATTCTGTGTGGTGATGTCTTTCTTTTCTCCACAGATCCAATGTACATTTAAGAACGTATTTGACATGCATAACACCCAGAAGGAAGTCTTTGATGTGGTAGCTAATCCACTGGTGGAGGACCTTATCCAAGGGAAAAATGGTATGATTCTTGGAGTTTTGCTGAACTCCCTGTTTCATCTTGTGATAAACCTTTGTGATATTTATATATTTGGCTTGACATTGAATTTATATTTAACTCATTAGAGTGATGTTCTTTTTTGTGGTTTATTAGTTTTAGTGTTTTAAATACAATGAAAAGTTCTGTGGGACTTTAAGATTATAACTCATTGTTACTTGCTACACTTTAGGACTGTTGTTTACGTATGGCGTGACAGGAAGTGGAAAGACGCATAAGATGATAGAGTCTCCGGGGTCTGGAGGCCTGCTTCCTCATTGTTTCAAAATGATCTTTGACAGCATAGGGTTATTTCAAGGAAAACGCTGCATATGTACAATTTCGTTGGTTTTTGACTGTTAGTATAGACACAGGACTGGGACATGTATGGATGCAGTACTGAGGAAGGACAAAGACACTGGGACTGCTTTGACTCTTACACTTGGTGGTGGGCACGTTGGCTGCGGGCCTGTGGTGGCAGCACTTGGGTGGTATAAACAAGAGGATCAAGCGCTGTCTCATGCCCTTTCCCCAGGTTTAAGTGTTAAAGTGCATCCTATTTTTAAATGTTCCTATTCTTTAGGTAAAGTTCTTATTTTCAAATCTTTTTTTTGCCTCTCTCTTAGACATTTAGATCTAATCATAGGAACAGCATGGAGATTCAGCCTGAAGTTGATGCCTTGTTGGAACGGCAGAAAAGAGAAGCCATGCCTATTCCAAAGACCCACTCTAGCAAGTGAGTAGGTGACTCAGGACGGGTGGAATTCTGTCCTACAGTTTCTATAGATCTGGAGAAGGTAAATACGAATAGAAATGTTGGTCTTACAACTGACTTTTGTGAGGTCAGAATTGAGGCACATTCTTGACTACTCAGGTATTTTATCTAGTTTAAGGAGGATATGTCTGTAAATGGGAGGAAGGTGAATTCCTGTGTTGTGCATCTTGAGGACTTAGGGTGTCCTTGACCCACCTTGAATCTGAATAACATTGCTTTATGATTTCAACTTTATGTGACAGAACATTTGTCAGACTTTTCAGATTTCACTCTGATATCGTCTCAATTAGGTTTCTATTGCCGTGATAAAATATATTGAACAGGGAAGCAGGTTGAGGAGGAAGGAATTTATTTTATCTTTCACTTCCAAGTAACAGTCCATCACTGAGAGAAGTCAGGGCAGGAACTCTAGGCAGGAGTTGATGCAGAAGCCATGGAGGGTGCTATTTTCTGGTTTGCTCCCATGGCTTGCTCAGCTTACTTTCTTATACAACCCAGGGCCACCTGCCCAGGGCTGGTACTACACATATCAATCATTAATGAAGAAAATGCTAGACAGACTTGCTTGTTGGTCAGTTTTTTAGAGGTAGGTGTTTTCTCCAATTGAGAGCCCCTTTTCCCAAAGACTCCAGCTTGTGTCAAGTTGACATAGAACCATCCAAGACAGCCATTATCTACTTTCTATCCTAACTCATAGTGGGTAAATTTTCAAGTAAGGGAATCTGTTTTCTTGTAGGTGACAAGCAGATCCAGAATTTAAAGATATGATAGAAGACGTCCAGGAATTCTGCAAAGCAGAAGAAGTTGATGAGGACAGTGTCTATGGAGTATTCGTCTCGTACATTGAAATCTATAATAATTACATATATGATCTACTGGAAGAAGTGCAGTTTGATCCCATAAAGCCCAAGTAAGTACTGAAGAGAGCCTCCTGTCAACCTAGAAAACTACCCTCAGCAAGCCATGGTTACTTATATAAATAGGGATAATGCTTGCATTTGTTTTCAGGGTGTACAGAAATAATAATCAGATAGTCATGTTGGATGAATAATTTTCTTCCATTTTCTTTGTTGTTATTGTTGTTGTTGTTTTGAGACAAGAGTTTCTCTGTGTAGGCCTGGCTGTCCTGATACTCGTAGAGAGATCCACCTGCCTCTAGCTCCTGAGTGCTAGGATTAAAGTCATGTGCCATCACTGCCTGGCAATCCTTAGACTGTAGCTGTATCAGGAAACCAGAGGGTTAAGACCTAGTAAGTAACCTGAAAATCATGGAAATTGCTTTTGAAAATTTAGACTTAGGTTTGACACAAATCTCAGTCTTATAGGTACTGTTGGGGTACCTTTCAAAACCCTGACAGTGCTGGGAGTCTGTAGTCTTTTTGGCTGTCTGTGTCCTGGTGATCTTTATGGAATTGATGCTTGACTGAACACATAATTCTTACCTCATCCATTGCTGATTAGTGTAAAGCCATATTGCACTACCATTCTGCCAGAGGTAAATGCTACTCCTTAGGTATCGCTGGGTCTTGCCTTGCAGAATGTGATGACCAGTTACCATGTAGCTTTACAAAAGTGGCTCTCTTTGTTCCAGAGCTGACAAAAAATTTGTGTCAAATGACGAGTCCACTGTGGGTGCTTTTATTCTTCAGCTAAAAGCTGGTCTTGCATGCTGTGTTTACTGCAGCCAGTTAGAATGTAAATAGTATGGAGCCCTTTGTCTTGCATATCATATTTGTGTATATGTATGTGTAAATGGACATTACTGTGGGAACAGCTGGATCTAGAAAACCATTAAGCTACAAACAGACTGAGGTCCACTAATGTTGGTGTGTTCACTAATAAGAAAAATACATGAACTCTGGTTGAGCATATACTTGATAAAGAATTTCTGTGGCTTTTACTGATTTGCATTTCAAAAAAGCATATTATATCCTAGCTAGGCCCCCATGTGGTGACATTTTTGGGGGGCTCTTATGTAAATTTATGTAATTAAAGAATGGATGTCTTAGGAGCATGCTTGTTCTCTTTTTTTTCTTTTCTTTTTTTTATTAGTAACTCTTTTAATAAGTTTTTGGTTTTTAGAGACAGGGTTTCTCTGTGTAGTCCTGGCTGTCCTGGAACTCACTCTGTAGACCAGGCTGGTCTCGAACTCATAAATCTGCCTGCTTCTGCCTCCCAAGAGCTGGGATTAAAGGCGTGTGCCACCACTGCCTGGCCTGATGCTTATGTTCTTATACTTGCCCTTTGCCATCTGGATCTCCTTAGTGCTACAAGCCCTGTCTCTGACTGGGGCCTGTCATTCCTATTATCTTGGTTGTGTCAGAACTGTGTGGGGTGGATGTTACTACTGGGGTTAGAGTTGGAGCCTGGGATCTGCTCAGTGTTCGGACCCAGACTGGAAGGAACCAGTGCTCCGGGCCAGGAGTGAATTCCTGAGTCCCAGTGGGGCCCAGTTTTTCCGTTTGTGGTGGGTGTTGCTATCTCCTTACCTAATATACTACCCAGGTTAGAGCTCCTGGGAGGCCTGATTCCTCTGGGTTTTGTGAAATTGGGTGCAGAGCTGTCTCCCGGTATCTGCTCAGTGCTCGGGCTCAGACTGCAAGGCAGGAACATGCTTGTTCTGTCTGACCATGCAGTGCCTCTATCATAACACCCAGGAAGGCCCTTACTGGGTGTCAGCACTACACTTGTGGACTATCCAGCTTTTAGAACCATGAGAACTTAAGGAAAACTGGGGATGTGCTCAGTGGTCCAGCACTTGGCTAGCGTGCATATGAGGCTCTGGGTTCTGTTAGCAAGCAGAGGAGCAAGGGGATATTGTGTTGCTTGGCACTTAACCTTATTCTGAAAGGAAGACAGTTGTATCTCATTGGGGAAACTAAATCCTCTTTCTTTCCCACAGACTCCCGCAATCTAAGATGCTCCAAGAAGATAAGAACCAGAATACTTACGTTGCAGGATGTATGGAAGTAGAAGTGCAATCTGCAGAGGAGGCTTTTGAAGTGTTCTGGAGAGGTTAGAAACAACTAGAAATTGAAAAGTGTGAGCATTTTAAGCCTCAGAGTTGTTAGTGTGATTAACAGCATCCTTCTGGATTGATTAGAAAGCAGGCATAGTAAGTGGCTGACCTCAGGTGTAATAAGTGGTTTCTCTGTCATCATAGGTCAGAAAAAGAGACATATTGCTGACACCAATCTGAATAGAGAGTCCAGTCGCTCACATGCTGTGTTCAGCATTAAACTCCTCCAGGCTCCTTTGGATGCTGATGGAGACAACATCTTACAGGTAATGTTTTCATTGGTAGAAGATGACCTAAATTAGGGGTTGCCATGGTGATGAATGTTGCTGTAGAGTTAGCAGCTATACAGTTGATGACTTCTTCATGTTAGTAGTACTGTTTCTGGGCTCTGCCTATTGTGGCTGATCCTAGGGTGGAGCATGTGTGGCACTTGCCTGGCAGTGTTGTAAGAGGGTCTGCGAAGTTTCAAAGCTCGTAAGGATGTGTGTGCATTGGTTTAGGTGCTGATTGCCTCGTGAGACAGTCTCGTGTACTGAGGCCAGGATGATTCTGAACATTTGTTTGTTTTCTCTTACTTCTGCGATTATAATGTAATTACATAATTTCTCCCTTCCCTTTCCTCTCCCCAAGCCTTCCCCTATAATTTTTCTTGCTGCTTTTCAAATTCATGGCCTCTTTTGTCTCTGTTTTTAGTTATTTCTCACTGTATAGGTAAAGCTGGCCCCAACTTCCTAACAGCCAGAATTAAAGGCATGTGTCACCATTCCTGGCTTTTGTTTTTGACAACAGAATCTCACTATGCAGCTTGGAGCTCAGAGATTCCCTGCCTCAGCCTCCACTGCTATGACTAAAGTCTTGCTTCACTGGGCATGATTTTAACTGTTCAGTGTGGCTGTGTCCAGGTTGGTGGGAAAGTGTGAGTTCTGATTCCTGCCTATTTCCCAGCTGTCTGCCCTGACTGTAAGAGAGCCATCTCATAATGAGATCATGAGAATTAAGGGAAGCAGTGTGAAGTGTCTTGTCTGCTGCTTGGCTTAGACAGTCAAATGTTAGTCAGAAAGTGGCCACCAACAAGTCTTTCCCACACCCAGTTTCCTATGAATGACTGTTTTTAATGCTAGGAATGTGAATTCTTGCTAACAGCATAACACCTTCTCGGTGCACTTAACTTTCTTTTCCTTTTTAAAGCATTATTTTTATATGATGTGTATAAATGGTTTGCCTGAAGATGTGTCTGTGTACCATTTGTGTGTGCGTGGTGCCTGTGGAGGCCAAAAGAAGGCATCAGATCCCCTGGACCCAGAGTCACAGATGGCTCTAAGCTGCCAAGTGGGTACTGAGAGCTGTACCTGGAGCCTCTTCGAGAGCAGCTGTGCTCTTAACCATTGAGCTTCTGTCTGCCCTGACTTTCACTTCTTTAATATAGGTTAGAGTGCTGTGAAACTGTTAAGTTCATGTGGGTTTTCTTTGGGGGGGGGGCAGGTTGGGGGCTCCGGTTTTTGTTATATGTGTGTTGCTGAAGACAAAGCTTAAATTCCCAGTGCTAGAATATAAATAATACCTGTTACAGCAGAAAGGCACAGAGTCTTTCTTCTCAAGAAGTTCTCTAGTATCTGTTCTGAGGACATGAGCTTCTAGCAAACTCTTCCTGTGTCACACATCCTCGGCTGCTCTGGGCGTTTGTATTGTGCGCATACACTGTCCATTAAGACTTAAGACCATGGTAACTGGATCATTTTGTTGTTGTTTTGGGTTTTTTGTTTTTACTTTTTGAGACAAGGTTTTACTTTTTGAGACAGTGAGTCTCTGTGTAGCCCTAGCTTTCCTGGAACTCGCTTTGTAGACTCAGCTGGCCTGGAATTCACAAGACATCTGCCTATCTCTGCCTCCTAAGTGTTGGGATTAAGGGTATAATTTATCTTAGATTGTTGATTTTCTCTCCTTTTAGGAAAAAGAGCAAACTACTGTAAGCCAGCTGTCTCTGGTAGATCTTGCTGGAAGTGAAAAAGTCAACTGTACTAAAGCAGAAGCTGGTGAGCGGAGTGCTATGCTTTCTTCTGACTATAACTTTCAACAGCTTGGAACATCAGTTTGTATTTATCAGTGGGTGGTTTCTGCTTAATCACTGCAATAACATTAATTATTAAACTTACTCTTTAAATCTTCTACATTTTAAAAAATTAATGTTTTATTTGTGTTCCTGTACACGTCCAAGTGTACATAAAGATCAGAAGGTAAGGTTCTCCCTTTGTGGATCCTGAGACTCAGGTCATCAGTCTTGGCAGCAAGCGCTTCTATTGGGTCAGCCACCTTGCCAGCCCACCTAAGTTAACTTGTTTGTCTTTTGATTTGTTTGTTTGTTGTTGTTTTTTGGTGGTTTGGGTTTTTTTGTTGTTTTTGTTGTTTTTTGTTTGTTTGTTTGTTTTTGGTAGTCCAGACTGGCTGTTGGTCTTCTTGCCTCAGCCCTTCTGAATACTGGGATTTCAGGTGTGTATCATCATGTCTAGCTGAATGATCTATCTGATAGGCATGATGGAGTTAGGAGGCCTCAGTGTTCCAAGATAAACAGTCCTTTAGCACTTGGGTGTATAACTGAGATCTGAATTCTTAAAGAGTTGTGATTAGTACACTAGCCTTGTCAGGCTCAGAAATCCAAATGAGACAGGTCAGAAACAGAAAGCATGATGACTACTGCTGAGATGTAGACAGTTGACTGTTAGAAACGTGTCTCTTCATGTGTAGGAGAGACTTCTGTCCCTTTCTAACTGTAGTCTGAAATGGTCCCTTGGAATGTAGTTGGCCTTCCATGTATGAGGTGCCTGTGTTTAGTCTCCAGCACCACCACCCCTAGAAAAGAAAAGAAGGAAGAAAGCCAAGTAAATGACTTTGTCTATGACAGAATTTAGGGTTTGGAAGAAACTGTTATTTTCTATTGCCGTTAAGGCAACTTAGAAAAGAAAACACTTAGCTGGGGGCTTGCTTCCAGCTTCAGAGGGTGAGTCGGTGACCATCATGGCAAGGGGATAGGCAACAAGTAGGCATGGTACTGGAGCAGTAGCTGAGAGGGTACTGTGGGGTAACTGTGATCAGATGATTCACAACCATGAGGCAGAGGGGTGCAGGGAGAGAGAAGGAGACTCAGAATGTTTATGCTTTTGAAAACTTCTTAAGGCCTGCCTCCAGTGAAACACATCCTCCAACCAGGCTCTACCACTTATACTGTCCCAAATAGTTCTTTCAACTAGAAACCAAGCAGTAAAACATATGATGCTATGGGGACCACTCTCATTGAAATCAGCACAGAATTCAGTGTCAAATGGATTCCCAAGTTAGAGAGATGGCTCAGCAATTTAGAGCACTTGTTGGATCAGGTATGGTGGCACACGCTTTTAATCCTAGGGCCTGGGAGGCAGAGACAGAAAGATAGGTCAGCCTGGTCTACAAAGCAAGTTCCAGGATAGACAGGACTCTGCTGTTAAACACAGTAACCATAGCTTGGAAAACCAGAAAGAAAGAGAGAAGGGCTGGAGGGAGGGAAGGAAGGAGGGAGGGAGGGAATGAAGGAAGATATTGTTCTTCCAGATGACGTGGGTTTAATTTGTGCATCCACATGAGAGCTCAGAAGTATCACAACTATTCATAACTCTATTTCCAGGGGATCTGATGTCCTCACTGGCTTTTGTGAGCACCAAACAGACATGCAGTACATTTACATACATTTAGGCAAAAACGCTCAAACACAAAGAATAAAGTTTAATAGAATTAAAGTTAAAAAAGAGATTCTATATTCTTTCTCTTCTTTTTTTTAAGAGTAATAATGTGGGGCTAGAGAGATGACTCAGCAGTTCAGAGCACTGACTGCATTTCTAGAGAACCTGGGTTCAAATCCCAGCACCTACATGGCAGCTCACAACTGTCTGTAGCTTCAGTTCAAGGCGATCCAACACCATCAAACAGATGCCATACATGCAGTCAAAACACCAACGCACATAAAGTGAAAGTAAAGAGCAATATTGTATTTGGAGAGCGTTTTATGGAATCACTGAAAGATGCTGAGGCTATTCAGAATTAATACTGTGAAAGTACAGTGGGATCATGCATAGGCACCTCTTGAACTTGAGCATGAGAGACTATCAGTTCAGTAGAGTAGAGGTTTTACAGGCACAGAGTCATCAGCTCCTGTCTTGCTGATTCACAAGTCTTTTGTTTCTTATTTCCTGTCAGGAAACATTAACCAGTCCTTGATGACTCTAAGAATATGCATGGAAGTCCTGAGAGAAAACCAGAAATATGGAACCAACAAGGTACAGAGCAGCCTTCCCCAGCTTCTTTGTGGTATAGTTTGTTCATTTTACAGTTGAATATGCTTAGCTTTGGGATGTTTTTATAGGTGGTTCCATATCGAGATTCAAAGCTAACCCGACTATTCAAGAACTACTTCGATGGGGAGGGGAAGGTTCGGATGATCGTGTGTGTGAATCCAAAGGCTGAAGACTATGAACAAAGCTTGGTAATTTAAGTGTATTTTTGTCCTATACAATTTGGTTTCTCTAGGGAAAGCAGCTACTTGGATGTGAAGAATGGCAGTCTGTAGATCTGTACATGGTCACTGGATATGCAGACATACTATTTAGCCATCCATAAAGAAGGACAGGTAGGCTTGTTTTTACAGATTCTGTTTTGTATTTTCAGCAAGTCATGAAGTTTGCTGAATTAACCCAAGAAGTCGAAGTAGCAAGACCAGTAGACAGGGTGATATGTGGCCTGGCACCAGGGAGACGGGACAGAAACTTGCCTCAGTTAAGTACAACAGAGCTGAAAACACATAAACCATGTTACCTGAGACATTTCAGTTAGGAAGTGTGTTTGGTTTAAAGCCGAAACACTAGTACCATGCAGCCATGTATCTTTCATTGTTTCATATGGAATGTCCAAGTATGTTGCTAGATTCCAGCAGAAAAGCACTACAGAAAGTATTGAACTAACCTAAGGTAAAGATACACGAATTGCAGTATATTCTT